TGTGACAGCCATCCTTTTAGATACCACTCCAATCACAATAACCAATAAACCCTTGAGATTTGAGCTATCCTTGTTAGAAGAAACCAACCTTTTCACTTGGTCCTAAACCGTGCGATCTCTCTGAACCAGGGAGCGTTTGTTTAAGATCGTTCAATCCTCGACCAGCCCTCATAGCCCATGAGTACAATCACTCAAGGCACCTTTTTAAAATCCCTAGTGTGGTCATCAAGCTGGACTGGGAGAAAGCCTATGACCATGTGAACTGGGACCACCACCATGGAATCCTCCTTAGAATGGGCTTCCGGATAAAATGGTGCAACTGTACTAGGGGATGCATTTCAGCCCCTTATCTCTCTATTCTCGTTAACAGCTATCCTAAAGATTTCTTCCCATCCTCTAGGGTCCTTCAACAAGGAGACCCTCTCTCCCCGTCTCTATAGTGGCTGAGGTCTTTAGTCGATCGACAGATAGGCTATATGGTATCTCGGTATGATGGAAGGTTCAGTTAGAGCAATCAAGGCCATTGATCTCCCACCTACAACATGCAAATGAAACCCTTGTCTTTGGCAATGCCTCCCACCAACAAATCGATACTTTCACGCTATACCTCGGGTGTCTACAATTTGCCACTAGCCTCAAATTAAACAGAATGGATGCGGCCATAGACCATTACCAAGTATGAACACTAGCTGATATTTTAAGCTACAGTGTAGACTCTTTCCTACCAAGTATCTGCACTGTCCTCTTTGTATAGGCAAACCTAGAAAACTCTCTTGGAATTCCATCATAGAAAATTTTGATCAAAGGCTGGCAGCATGGAAAGTTCAATTTCTCTCGATGGCTGGTCGTCTCACTTTAATTAGGGCCACACTCTCAAAATATCGGTATATCAAATGTCCCTCTCACAAATCCCTCTTCCCATCATTGCCATCTCAAGATGATTGTGAGAAACTCCCTGTAGTCAAGAGAGGTTGACAGGTATAAGTGGAACTTACTAGCATGGGATAAGATTTGTCATCCACAAAACAGGGCGGTCTGGGTATTTGTAGCCTTAAGTTATGCAACAAAGTCCAAATGGTGGTGGAGGTTTGCTACTCAAGAGAATCACTTAAGGCACCAAGTCATCCGCCAAAAATATAATATCCACCCTCTTTCGTGGCTACCAAGTGGTCCCCCCATGCGGAAGTCCTAGGGGGTGTGGCAATGTTTGTTCTCCTCCCTTGACTATTTCCGCAGCAATATTTGGTTAAAAGTAAGATTGGGTGTCAAAGTGTAGTTCTGGTCTAATCTATGGGTCGGGAACTCTACCCTTAGAGAAATTTTTTTCTTTTTAATTTATTCTAGTTCGCTAGAGATAAGAAGGCTATGGTTGCCGACCTATTCGATAACCTGGGTGAGGTAAGGGTTTGGATCCTAAATTTCAGAGGGCCGCCACTAGACTACAATTTTCCAGAGTTCCAATCATTGCTAGGTCTTCTCCAATCTTCCAACTTACCCGCTGACGGTGTAGACCACATCATTTGGATGCCCTCCCAATCCGGGATGTTCTTCGTGTTCACTTTCTACACCTAGCTAAATCAGCCCCCAACCCCCCCTATCGCCTCCATCCTTGGCAAGCTGCACTTGAATCTCCTCCATCCCACCCAAAATTCAAGTGTTCTCCTGGATAGCCATTTCCCAGAGGGTGCTCACGCTTGACCAACTACAATCTAGGGGGTCCTTATTCAGAATGTGTAAATCAGCTGAGAAAGACCAATGCACAATTGTTTTCACTATGTGATTGGGTATCCCATCCCATCTGTGCAGTGACCTTCTACAATTCTTTGATTGGTATTGGGTCACCCCATCTTCCATACCACATCTATTTCAAGGCTTTATGTTCCCTTTTTGGCCACCTGCGGGCCTTTTCCTTTGGCATGCAGCTGTCACCAGTACCATGTGGGTCATTTGGAATGAAAGACACCTAATAATTTTCAAGGGCAAAGAGAATTCAGCAAACTCCCTTATGGAAATCATCAAAGCTAAGGTCATCTTTTGGGCAAGAACTCAAAATCATTCAAGCACCAAGTTACCACAGACTTTGCCAAATTTGGAAGGCCTTGTTAGACGGTAGACCACATAGATCACACGATCCTCACTCTAGTGCCCCTGAAGCACAAACACATCAAGCTGAACTTTGATGGTTGTTCCTTTGGTATGCAGCTGTCACAAATGAAAGGAACCTAATGATTTTTTAGGGCAAAGAGAAATCAGCAAGCTCCTTTATGGACAGTGTCAAAGCTAAGGTCGTCTTTTGGGCAAAGTACTCAAAACCATTCAAGCACCAAGCTACCACAGACCTCGTCCAAAATTGGAAGGCCTTGTTAAGCAGTAGACCACCCAGATCACACAGTCCTCACCGTGGCACCCCCTGGAGAAGAGACGCATCGAGCTGAACTTTGATGGTTGCTCCCTCCGCAACCCTGGTCCTATGGTTTTCGGTGATCTCTTTAGCGACCATGAAGACCTTACCCAGCTCTCCTACTCTGGTTTCATCCGTCATTCAGACTCCACTACAGCTGAAGCCATTTCTCTTTTGGAGGGGATTAAAAGAGCCTGCATGGACTGATCTAGGTGTTTAATTGTCAAGGGTGATTCAGAAAAAAGATATTTCTTGGGTTACTAAGGCCTTGGAATTTCCAATTTGACCAAATTTCCAACCTATGTAGGCACATGCAGATCTCCTATCGTCATGCTTAACGCGAGGCGAACCAAGTTGGCAATAGTTTGACAAAAGCAAGAGCCCCACACCATAGCTGACTCATCGTTTTGAGCAGTCCCCACTATCAGACACATTTTTTATCTCTTTTGTTAGCCTGGAATCCAATGACAGGGATACTCTTTTGTTCCTTCACAGTGTACAGGTTCTTTCACCAAATTTTTGTATAGCAATACTTTTTTTTGTTTTTGGAGAATTTTTGTATAGCAATACTTCGAGTTGCATTTTTTGAGAATTCTAAAGAGGGCCCAGCCTATGGGACTCGCCATCCTTTTGTACACTTTCACACAAGCAACGGCTAACCTTTCATAGAGAGATAGAGAGAGAGAGAGAGAGAGAGAGAGAATCTATCTATGTATACTTTAGTTAATTAATATTTAATAAGGGATGAAAAACACAAGACACCAACGATAGATGCAGTACAAATCAGGCAATACATGCTCCAAAATACAACATCAATATCAAATCCATCATGAAAGAAGTTGATTTCACATGCATGCCAATGTTAGCATCAAAACTAGGAAAGCAGAGACTGTTACCATTTTTTTCGAGCTGTGTATTTGAGTTGGAAACTGCATCCATTTCTTGCACACACCCAGCAGAATTACCACCTTTACGCTCTCGATTTCCTGCAAGCAGGACATAAAGTGAACGTCAATAGTAGAAGAAGATAAAGGAAAGGAATATAAAGGTCAAAACACCATAGAATAATTGCTCATATTACTTTTTTGTTCATTTTTTACTTTACATAAAACTGGAGTTCTTTCGATTTTGCATAAAATATAACACGAGTCATGAATCATCTGCATGCAATTTCTAGAGGAAACTAGGAATAAAGTGACAGAGAAAGGCAGGAAAATTTTATGATACCAGACATTCTCCAAGAAGCCTCTTGCCTCATTAGCATAGCCAACAGCAATTACTATTGTTTAAACTTTCATTATTGTTCATCACACAGATCTAAAAGTTCTTCCCACAAAAGATAAATATCAAGTAAACTAGTCTTTCCAATATAGCCAGTAATTCAGTAAATGATGGGACACAGAGTTGCAGAACAAAAGATATATCAGCCTGACATTATCCTCCCACAAAAAAAGCACACAGTTAGCCAAAAGCCACAAGGTCAACAAGAAAAAGTGCTGCTCAGTGCTTGTGACTTGCTATCAAATGATTCCAAACATAAACTACAGTTCTAAGAGAAAATCATACAACCAATATATAGAGAAAATCATACAACCAATATATTACAGTTTTAGCAGAAAATCATATAATAAAAATGGAAAAAAATGATAATAAACAGTAAGAAATATAAGATCAAACATCACAAGAATAGAAAGAATATCATACATGTCAAACCAAAACCCAAGCTGAGGAAATGCAATGTTTAATTAAACTCATTAACCAAAACGCCATGAGAATTGAAATCGTAAGGATGCCAATGCAATAACTAACTCAACCCCATCATCAAGAAAACAACCTCTTCTTAGTAGCAAGGTAACAGCTATATCAAAATAAAATTGGGCTGAAGCTAATCTATTTAATTTGTTAGAGCTTAATGACATTTCCAAACTCTCTCCAAGCCATGTCCACAGAGAAGGACAAGACATCCATTCAATCTTTTCCAAGATGAGTTGATGCGCAAGCAACACATGGATCATACGAACAGATTCTTATCCACAAATTACCTTTAGCCAATGCCCTTGATTATAAGATCAAGACTCTCATGAGTCATGACCATCACAAATTGGAAGCAATTGTCATACTGAGCTAAGAAATGCATGCTCAGAAAGGTTGTTTTTGTGACGCAATACTGATACTGTGAGGTTCACAACAATTGAAAAAAAGAAGAAGGGAGAAATAGAAAGTTGTACAAGATAACTAATTTGAGGAATGGCATCATGGATGAAAAAGGTTAACCTTTCATATGATGTGGTTTATCTTTATTCCCACATTGTAGGATGTAACTTTCTCCCACTTTCCCACACCAGATGAAGCATGAATTCCCATTTGAACTCTCTCATTTAAGCAAGACATGGACATCATGGTCAATGTCCTCCTTACCCCAATAATAGCCCGTACTACTACTGCAGGATCCTTATGTAAATAATAACAAAAAAGTTTATTATACATCTACATGTCCCAAAAATCACCACCTTGAATCAATAGCATGTTTCTTGAAATAATGTCTGCCGAAAACACAGTATAGCATTAATCTCACTGTGCCTAGCAAGTTTGCAATGTGGGCAGTAAAATAAGGGACAGAATGTTAAGGATATGAAAAACTCAATCTTATGTTTCATTCATGTGTTTGCTCCCAAATTGACCAAATGTGTGCATTCCTTGAATCTTTCTCCCCCTACTCCTGAATCTATACAGAATGGTAGGATCACCATGGTCAGCTAAGAGAAAAGGTCATGCTACAAAAAAGTAAAATAAATCCTACCCAGCAATGAGGTAGCTAAATGAATACCAACAATCATAAAGAAAGACAACTACGTGTCTAAAACGATCCATAATGAGCAACAATCAGAGCACATAAATAAGTCTTTGCACATTAAGAAGTATGCACATGCGTACACATGCACAGAGAAAGAATAAAATAAAGAATACCAGAGTTACTAAAAAGAGAACAATTGCCTTCGCACTTCATGGTTTATACTAATCTAACTGTTCTTAAACCAAAGCACCCTTTGTTCAAGCGAGCTTATGATTCAGTGTCAAATATGGCCATAATTCTCTAGTTGATTTTTCTTTTTCCAGGGGGGGGGGGGCAAAGTAAAATGTAGCCGTCACTCCAAGAATCTAGGATTCATAGTGATGTCTCTAATAATTATTTTAAGTTACTGGATCCATGAAGCCTAAGCATCGCAAATGATAGATAAAAACTTGAATAAAAAGAAAAAAATTTACAATTTCCCCGTTAATAACATCACCAAAACCTCAAGAAGCCAAAATTTGTTAACAAGAATCTATTCTGAGACCTTATAAGTAACAACATCTATAGTTACTAGAAGATGAAAAATACAAAAAAAGATATATTAAGAGTGAAGAATGATCATCACTCCCCTTACTTTTAATTAAAAAAATCAAAGGTAAAAAATTAATCTATCCCTGAATCATAAGACAACACTAAACTTCTCTGATCTTTAACTAAAATCTTTGATTTCAAATAAACTCTATCTTATCAATTTGGAAAGCGAGGGAGTACTCGTTTCAATTTTAAAAAGGCAGAAAACCCAAAAAAAGCGCGGAAAAAGTGAAACGTGTCGCGAAAATGACAGGTGAAATAGCAGGAAGCCATTTCAGAGCTTTATACGAAGCAGCAAAGAATATTTAGATAGAGTCGAAATGGAGTAAAGAAGGTAAAAGGCATACATACCAGGATCGCTTGAGCCATTGGCCGCCATGAAAAGCTGCTGGTTCGCTCGATCGAAACAAACGCAGCGAGCGAGCGACCGAAATACGGAGAGAGAGAGAGAGAGAGAGAGAACGATTTTCAATGAAGGGCGCTAGACGGAGGAAGGGTGGTAGAGAGAGAGAGAGGGAGCATGGCGATTTTCAATTCAATGGAGCGACAGAGAGAGAGAGAGAGAGAGCGAGAGGCGTGATGCGCAGGGAGAAGGGGTAGGAAACGATAAAAATGCCCTAATTCTTGAAATAAATACTTGTAATACCCCTATCATTTGTTTTGGTCAAAGACAATGCAAAAATGCCCATCACTTCACTCAAATTTTTGGAACTCTCTTTTTTGTCTCTAAAGTTAGGAAGTTCCTAAAAATGGCCAATTATTTTGTTATTTTTCCGGATTTTGAATTGTTAGGTACATGATGTTAGTTTTGTTAAGAAGAGGGAAATTTAATAGGAAAAGTTTATATAAGTGTGAGGCTCAAAATAATTAAGGGAGCACCTCAAAAATTTCATTAGTAGAGGTTGTTTTGATGCTCAAATTCATCATCTCGACCTCAATATGCATGAGAAAAAAATAGATTTCAAGTTTTGAAAATAATGCATCTTGTAATGCATTTTTAGACCATCAATTTTGAAGATTTTGAAGTTTTCATAGATTTGCTTGATCTATACTATTTTTTAAGCTTTAAATTTTATAATTATAGATGAAAATAGTTTTTAAGGCTGTTTTTTTATACTATTTGAAGGTGCGCTTTACTTTGATTGTTTAGAGCCTTGGCATTATACAAACCACATGTATTTTAATGTGATGCGCGTGACAAAGTTTGAGGTTATGCTTGTTATCGCCAACCGTTTGGTAATTGGCTGGAGAGGGGGGAAAAAACTAGTAAACCACTCCGTTATGTCATAAGTCACGGATCACCTTCCATCGGTGGATGGCATGGACAGAGATACATAAGATCACATACTACCTATGGCCATCTATGTATTATAGCATTCCCAAAGAACGAAAGACAATTATTAGCATAGTATTAATTTTTGCAAAAAGTTTAATAAAGTTGCAATCTTAAACTATAGAATTAAGGTGTATCTAAAAATCCATCGAAAAAAGTTATTTTAACATTAAAAAACCCTCAAATTGATCATCTCAACATCATGGATATAAATAATAATAATAATATTTCAAGTCCCAAAAATAATGCATCTTATAATTCATTATTTGGACCGTCTATTTCAAGATTTTCATGTGTTTATAGATCTACTAAATCTGAACTATTTTTAAATTTTAAAATTAGAGATGAAAATAGATTATCATGTCATCCTTAGAATTTTTGACCAAACGTACTTCTTACGGTAAAATTTGAAGTGCACCTTTCTTTGGTTGTAAAGTGTTTAAAGTTGTAGGATTCGAACTTTTGCCGTTAGCTAGCATTGGCAAGAACGGCCCATATGTAAAGATGCTCGTGTGTATTGTGTAGTATTTATGGTGCACATCATCGGTATATGTATGATGTATATGTCGGAAACATGATACGCATATCTCATATTCAGAGATCAACCGTCTTTCTTGAGATCTCACGGGTATTTTAAAGGGGCAAGAGGTGACCCAAATCACTTTTTGGTGCTTCAGTGGATATAACGTTCATATGCTCTTCCCCTTTCAAAATCCATATTAGAGAAAGATCATGGGCCAAGAATTTTACAGGTCAATAATATCAATAATCACAAGCATGTATCTAACGAAAAAAGTAAAATTTAAATTTTAAAAATAAGTTATTTTGCACCTTTTTTTACATGTTCGGTTTACTCCTACTCATTGTTTCAAAAATCGCCGATCCGATCTGGAATCGAGCTATCTGGATCCGGTATCGGTGATAATCGATCCAAATGCAGTATTGATAAAACCGGGCGGTTCCTACTTTTTTATTTTTCAATCCGGTTTTCTTTTTATGCACCCACCCTGGTTTTTTGAAATGTGATTGACAAATTTTTATGTCAATTGGTACTCTACCTTACTCCTACTCCACCTTACTCCGCACGCTTCACATTGCCAAGACAACATTCAACATAACCAGATCGTTGGGTTTTTTTTATAGTATTCATTCTTCTCACATCGCTTCGATGTGGGATATATCTATGAGTTGAAAAAAAGCTGGCAAATATTATTAGCTTGGGATAAATTGCAGTGAAATGGTATACGTGCGATGGTGCACGCACGACGGTGTACGCCCGTCATGAATAAGAAAGTTGTATGTCCGATTGTGACAATGAAATTTGATGATAAAAAAAGGAAAAAATTATTAACAATAATAATTAGGTGCCCATCACCCCTATCTTTCACAAAAAAAAATTAAAATACATACCAAAAAAATATAAAAGTCTATTAAGCTATTATATCATGGTATTATTTCATTATATGAGTAATAATTAATTAATTAGTTAATTAGGATTAAAAAATTAGTACTAGCTCATAAGATAAAAAAAATAAAAAGTAATACAACAAGCAAAGAAAAATGTAGTACATCTTCTTCTTTTGTCAAAAAAAAAAAAAGATAATCAACAAGTATCATAATTTTTTTGTTAAAAATAAAT